GGGCAGGGCTCCGGGCCCGGCCGCACCCCCGCCGCTGAGCCGCTACCGCCTCCCCCGAGCTGACTAGTCTGTGAGGGCGGCGACCCAGCCGGCTTATTTAAAAGGGGTGGGGACCTAACAAGCGCTGAGAACTGCAGCCACTGCGGGGAGAGAGCGCAGCCGGAGCTCCTCCTCCTTCCGCAGCCGCCTCTGGACTGAGGGCCGTTCTCCTGGATGGCGCCTGCCAACCGGAACTCGTTGTGCCGTCACCTGGTTACGAGGGACCAATCACGCCCAGAGTTCCCTCCACGCGCCCGCCTTACAGAGTAGGCACGTGACTCACAATGCCCCGCCCCCGCCCCGCCCTGCAGCCGCCCCGCCCCCCGCGCGGCGCGCCCCACACTCTGGTTTCCATTCATCCGGCGCAGCCCGGAGCTTTCCCGTCCTACCGTTAGCCCCGTGGGCACTTGTTAATGCAATATCGAATGTCACTGTTAGTAAAGAGCCAGTTCTATTAGCAGCTCGGTTTCACTGAGTCTGACAGCTGACTCATTTGATGTATTTGCTCACTGAACTTAGTTACACTCGAATTGTTGATCGTTTTTGTAATGCTCCTCTCCTGCCTTCCAAAAAGTGCTAGTTTTCGCCTGCAACTCGACCATAGCGACCCCCAGTCCCCGGTCCTACTCTCAATAAAGAGCTGTGATTGTGAGTCTTGAATGAGACTGGAGGACACGTCACCCCTCCATTTCCTCATCGGTAAAATAGGGATGGAATGTGTCCCAACCTGAAAACGCAGAGATTCACCAAATCACTTTTCTCGCCTCTGTTTCTCCTTTCCACGGCAGGAGTTTCCAGCTTTTCCTTTTTTCCCCAACAGCAATGTATAAAGCACGATTTTCTCATAAAACTGAGAATCACAAAGTGGAGTACCACGATTCTGATTCGAAGGCGACGATAATGATAGTTCACATTTGGCAAACACCTACTATGCGACCGATCCCCTTCCAAACGAGGTATTCATTTAACCGTCCAAAATAATCTTCATTTTCCAGACTGTACAGAAGAAACTGAGACACAGATGTTAAGTAACGCTTCCAAGGTCACATGATTGCTCAGGGGTGGGGCCAGGATTTGATCCCAGACAGTGTGGATCTCTTTATAGTGCACTTTATCGTGATTATCAGAAAACAGAGATAGAAGTACAATTTGGGTGGCAGTGACGTTGTATCAGGAATTTTAAAAAGGAAGAACAATTTTTTGTTGTGGATTTTAATATATTTTCCCTTTATTCAACATTCTCTCCTAGCCAGGCACTGTCTGTGTGAAACACTCCTACCTTCAATGAGCTCGAGTAGATGAGAAAACAAAGGCTTAAAGGATCCAATTGTCTGAAGTCACACTGCTGGAAAATGCTTAAACCTGGATTTCTGATCTCAAAGTAGATACTGGGGTAAAGAATTTGAATTTTATCCTGGAAACATAAACCAATTAAATGATGTGAAGCTGAGGAGTCACTAATTAGATAGTTTGAAGTAGGGTCACTCTGGACAATAAGGCAGACTGAAGGAAGCAACAAAACCAATTAAGACACTTTATATTCATCTAGGGGAGAAAAGAGTGTTCAAACTAAAGGCAGTGACCGAATGGAAGGAAAGGATTTGAGATCATTTGGGAGGCTGAATAGAAGTACTTGGTGACTAAGTATGGAAGGAGAAGTAAAGAGAAAAGGCAAAAATGACTGCTAGGGTTCTGGCTTGGGAAAGTGGTTAGATAGCAGGACTTCCTCCCAGACAGAGAATGCAGGAAGAGGAATAGGTTTGCCAAGGAAGATAATTTTTGGCAAGTGGAACATCTAAATGGAGCTCTCTCATTGAAAGTTGGATAGAAGCCTCATTTGGTTAAGTCTGTTTTATGATATCCCAACCTATGTCTTCAAACACAGCATACACATCAAATCAAACCAAAAAAAATAATAATTGGGGAAAATTCCTAAAATTGACATGCTAAGAACATCACATTTTGTGTGTGTGTGATTACTTCCATGGAGCATATTGGAATCTATGGTTCTAGTAAATGAGGCATCCTATGTAAAATAAAACTGTTAAAAACATTTAAATTGTATTGTCATTAGAGCATACATACAGAAGTAATTGAAGCCGTGGGTATAGAAGTAACTCCTTTGAGAAGATATGTATAATAAGAAAAGAAAAAAGAAAAAAAAAAAGACTTAGAGAATAGGAAGATTTAAGTGGCATTGAAACAAAGCCTGCAAAGATGATCAGTGGAAGTCAAGAAACTTGAGCATTATCAGGAATGGCTGATCAGGTGAGCTCCATGAGGGTAGGGATCACACCTGCCTTTCACTTCTGTTAGAGCAGCCCCTTCTCCAATGCCTGGCGAGTAGGCACTCCACATGTAATTCTGAGAGAGAGTCAGTATTGCCAGGAAAGCAAGAAAGCTACAAATGCCATTGATGTGGCAACTGGATGAGTGGACTGGAGATATGTGCTGAAAAAAATGAGTATATTTATATGTTAAAGTGTAAGAGCCAATTAAGAAAAAAAAAATGAAGTTAGAGAAGGGACAATCAACCGAGCAAGGTCCTTAAGAAGGCAGAGTGGATGCACTACAGAACAGGGATAGATTAGCTGTGGGCTGATAGAAAAGCAAGGAGGAAGAAAGGACCTGTGTGGCCAGAGGGACATTTCTAGTAGAGGAGAGATGTAGGAAGAGCTCATCTGATGACTTCTATTTTCCTCTATTTTCATAGACTTCTATTTGGAAAGCTACTCTGGGAAAGAGAGGATAATGTATAGAGAAGTCTACACTTCAAAAAAGCTCAATATGCCTAACAAAAATCAAATAATATATTCTCTCAAAGGTGGGTAAATTGAAAAGAAATTTGAGCAAAAACCAAGGAGCACTAGTCTAAATAGGTATGTCACAAAAGTAGGAGATGAGGCTAATTGTTTCCCCCAAATAGTGAAAAGAAATAGCAACAACTTTGGGGGAAGAGTAAAAAAAAAAAAAATTATGAAGAAAATGACATGTAATTGCAAAAAGTGTGAACATTCATGAACACTTTAATCACATAAGATACAAAAAGAAAAGAAAAGGACCAGAGAGAGTGTTCTTTATTAAAAGGATAGCAGAAGGAAAAAGTCACTGCAAAAGTCAGGGAAGCAGGGATGATTAATATTTAATTTAATAGTTTAAAAGAAATAAGTAAGGTTTGGTGACAAAAATGGGTAATATATTGAAATGTAGAAAACCACAATGGAATGGGAAAAGATTCTATGAAGTTCGGTTTAGTAAACATCTAGTTAAATCCTTAGGACCTAGTAGCATTCCATGATAACAATAATATTGTGTGAAGTCCTGGGAATGTCATTAGATACCATTTTGGATGATTCTTGTAGACTTGAGACAACGTCTAAGATCAAGTTACAAAATAGTGTCTGCATTTAACAACAGATGCACACAAATAGGTAGGCATGACCTTGAAAACTAAAGAATTTTCAATTTGCTAAGCAGTAAAATATTGAGAAGCATCATTAGGAAAATAGATCTGAGACTATTTTGTTTGAAGAGAACATTAGAGAGCATTAAGAAAAAACTCTACCCTCTCTAACAGTGGCAAGTCTGGGAGAACAAAGGGAAGTTAATAGGAGTGATGTGATTTGAATTAAGCAAGAGTTTAATTCTGTAATAGAAACTGAGACCTTGCATTTGTCTACTGATGGCCGAAAATCCCCTAGCAGGACTTTATGATCAGTGTTTCACCTGGATCTGAAGTAAAGTCATTCATTCATTCATTCATTCATTCATCCATCTGTTTTATTCACTCAATATCCATTTGGTACATGAGCCCTTACCACATGCCACATACTTTTAGGTGTTAGGGATGTTGCTTTGACCAAGATAAACAAGGTGCCTATTCTAATGAAATTTATCTTCTAATAGAGGAGTCAACAGACAGTGTTACCTATCATTCTTCAAACTCATGGCCCAGGATGGCTATTGATCTCCACCCATCATATCTTCATTCCAGACAGTAGGGTGGAAGAAGAAAAGGGAGATTTTTCAGAAGATCCACATAGCACGGTGCTTACATATTATTAGCTTAAAGCTTAGTCACATGATTATACCTAGCTGCAAGAGAGGCTCAAAAAAATGTAATTGTAAAGCTGAGTAACTAATGCAGAAGAGAGAACTGAATATTGGAAGGTAACTAGCACACTATGCACAATTTGTAAAGAAAGATTAGGGAAGTTTCAACTTCAAGAATAATCGTAATAAAATTTCATAGCCCTTTGCAAGCATATATAAAAAACTTATACAAGCAGTTCTGTAATGATCTTTTCTTAAGCTAAGAGGACAGAAAAAATAGAGTGAGGCTTAAGCTATAGAATGAAACTAGGTTAGACATAAGAAAGACTTAATGGCAGTCAAGCGATCAGGATTATATATTACATATGTATTGTGACTAACAGATTTACATCTTGAATATTATAATTAGTAGTTCTTACAGAATAGATGTGCAAGAAATACATACATTTTTTTTCTGGGTAGAGTCTATCACTATCATCATTTTCTCAAAGGCATATGTGAACAAAAATGCTAAGAATTACTATAACTAATTTGATGTGGAACATCTTATCTCATTTCCAGCATCAGAAAATTATAATCAGGATTTTTTAGCAAGTGGAACATTCGATAGTGCTGGCACTCATATTCTAGTAAACAGTCCAGTGCCTCTTCCACCTGTCTCTTTCCATGTTTTCTGAACTATTCTCTCTATTCTCTCACCTTCTCTCTTCTCATGGCATGTAGATTTCTTTCCGCCAGGTGAGTCAGTTGAGATGAGAATGTTAGTTTATTTGATATAATGCTCTGAAAAAAATAAAAAGGGTATTAGTTTGCCATACTCTCAGGGCAGTTAATGAACTCCTCATTGGACAAGTCAGCTCTGGCCTCAAATATCCACTGTGATTACCATTCCAAATCTCAGGGCCTTTTCTTTGATACAATTTCTAAGAAGGACCTGAAGTTTTGAGACTAGGAGTTTCCTTTTGCCTTCCTGGACCCTTTCCTCTTCTCTGCCATTTAATGATTTATTTGCTTCCAGTTCCATTTGTCTAAGCGCTATAGGAAATCAAAATCTTTCTCAGCCCGCTGCCTGTGCTTCCTCGGGTCACGGCCACATGGGAGGTAGAAGATCCTTTTTCTTCTGGAAGTGACCAGTTCAGAGATTCCCGATTCTCTAAAGCAGATGACAGCTCTACTCCCAACTCCAAAGACTATGAAAGCAGATGGTCTGCACTTAACTAGTTTTATAAGAGAACTACCCTCTACACTTACCCAAGAAATAAACTCACTGCCAAATCCACTTTGGCACAAGGCAGAGTAGAAATAAACACAGTAAACACTTTCAATAGTTTTTTTTTTATCCCAGTCATGCCCATGCTCCTTTCCCCCACAACTTGTATGTTATCTTGGTACTTTTAAGATGCGTCAGCTTTTAAAATGGAATCCGTTGCCAAGTTGCCTTACTGAAGTTAGAATCATTTTTCTTGCAATGATTTAACATGTTCCCCTCAGTTTCTTCCAGGAGCCTGTTTGACAGCAGCCTCCTCAGATTAAGCTGGTGTTAGAAATGCTGTAGGAGTTTCATCGAACTTGACAGTAGAGAAAAGATTGAAGAAGTCTTTTTAACCAAGTTTGTCCCCTAGAAACAAAGCTCCTAGATTTTAGGACACATCTTTTCCTACTGATGGCTTGATTGCCCTGTCGTGGAGACAAATCTGTTTTTATTCTGATAGCATGGCACTCATCCCGAAGTACCTCTAAAATTTTTCTATCGGAAAGATTTAGGACAGCAAACTGGGAGTGTGTAGGGCCTAGGAAACCTGTCTTAAGAGTCGCATTTGAATAGAAAGCACACTTTTAAAAACAAACCAACAATTTGATTTGCATTTGTTTGCGGAGGAGTTGCCTAAGGCCTTGGCCTGTCGGCTGAGCAAGCCAGGTTTCTGTTGGGTACTCTGATGAGCCTAGGGTTAGTCATGCTGCACAACTCATGAGCTGTTTCTTCTCAGTTGTACTTTCCACACAGATAAAATAGAATACTCCTCTAAAACAAACAAACAAACAAACAAACAAACAAAGAGTCTGTTTATGGTGCGGAGGAGTTGCCTAAGGCCTTGGCCTGTCGGCTGAGCAAGCCAGGTTTCTGTTGGGTACTCTGATGAGCCTAGGGTTAGTCATGCTGCACAACTCATGAGCTGTTTCTTCTCAGTTGTACTTTCCACACAGATAAAATAGAATACTCCTCTAAAACAAACAAACAAACAAACAAACAAACAAACAGTCTGTTTATGCAATCAATGCTTTGCCCTAGAGAGGTTAAGAAAAAAATTGCAGCCATGAACCCTACCTTGGTCATCTGGTAAACCTCTACTCATTCTTTGAGGCTTTTCCCAAGCGGAGCTTTCTCTGCAGTGCCTCCTTCAAAGCTGGGAGATTCTGCATCTTCAGTGCAACAGTTCCTTATGCAAACCCTCAGAGCAGCCTTGTATCACATTATATAGTAACTGTTTGCTTATTTGACACCTCTTTTAAACTAGGCACTCCCTGAGAGCAGAGCTATTTCTTTTCTTTCTTTTTTTTTTTTTTGTATCCCCAGCACTAAGAGTATAATGTCTAGCTTGCAGCTGGCTCAATACACTTTTATTGAATGAATGGATAAATGAATTAAAAAGTTGAACAGAGAGTACCAAAAATCACAATTGAGAACTGTTGTAACTATTTCTTATTTTTCAGTATTAGCTGTTCTCTTCTGTGCCTCTGCTTCTGGTTTCCGTGCCCCTATAGCATTTTAAAAAACATTAGCCATTTTATAACGCTCACAGTTTTGGGGTCAGGAAAGCAGGCATGGCACAGCGGGGACTGCTCATCCCTGCTCCAGTATGATTGGGGCCTCAGCTGGAGTGGATCTAGCAACTGAACATGGCCCAGACGGGTTACCTGGGGCCATACGTCCGGAGTGTCAGTTTGGGCTGTCAGCTGGTTTCCTTGATTCTTCTCCAGGTCATGTCTCCTGAGTCCATGGTGGCTCCTTCACTCACATGTCAGATGCCTGGCCTGCGAAGGCTGGAACATGTGGAAGTGGCTAGACTTCCTGCACAGCATGGTAGTCTCAGAGGAGTCAGACTGCTTATTGGACACATATATAATCACAATGTGTTTCACTTCTCTGGTAAACACGTGAATCTAAAAATATGAGAAAGGAAATTAAAATTAAAAAACCCTCAAAGCCAGTGTCTTCACTAAAGTTCGTTCAGACCATCAATTCATAATGGATTATGCTAAACTTCTTGTAACCAAATCTAAGTCTAATGCACTACCTGGCATCCAAATTATTCCTTTGGTCTCTGAGTTTTTGAAGCTTTTAGAAAGAATGCTTTTAGAAACAAATTTGCCATGGGTTAAGTTTATTTTGTGATGTCCAACTTAAATGTTTGAAAATAACGTATACCTTAAATCGAACTGAGAAAGTATGAAAGGAAATGTCCTAAAATCTACATGCTAAGGACATCACTTTTCTAGTGATTACTTTAATAGAGCAACTTCGAATCTATGGTTTTAGCAAATGAGGTGTCCTACGTAAAGTGAAGCCATTGCATGAAAACAGTTTTAAATGTTAAAACTTTTTAAATGTTATCGTGACTAGTTTTAACCAGCAAGTTCCACGTAAATGTGCACCATGAAATGCTTTACGTGCATAAACTAATACCCATAAAAATCCCATGATCTAGTAATATGAAAGCCCCTCGGGGAAACTCTCCACATAAAACTCAGCTGATCTCGTTACATAAGGATTTTCCCTTCTGGGAAGTAGATGGAATAAACTCATTGTTTGTGACTGCCTGTTTTTGAAGCAAGGTAAGCCAAGGTCTGTGTGCCCTTCCCCAGAAGTATCAGGGGAAGAGCCTGTAACATCTGCAAACTCTGAGTTGTGTTCTTTTGGGTACAAATCATGCTTTGCTGGCATTTCATGTTTCTATAAAAGAATAGGGAGAAACTTGCCCCTCAGAGTCTTCAGTGAGGTAAGAAGGCTGTGATTAAGTAACAATTGCGATTAGGTGTCTGTAGAGGAGAAAGAAATGAATAGGGTCAGAACAATACACACTCCCTACTGGTATCCCTCCAGGGCCTTGACTAAAGGCCAAATAATCACAGAGTGAGCCATGTCAGTTCTGAGGCTCTGAATAATGTGGATAATTAATAATAATTAAGTAGTAATTAATAATGACTTGAATAATTGAAGGTTCTTTACCTTCAGGCTGTGGGCTGGGAGCAGCACCCTGCTGAGTCATGCTGGAGCCTGAGGCATAGAAGAAATCAGTAATACTTACCCTCTCAGGGACATGGACAATGGACTAGTGGTTACCAGAGGGGAGGGAGAAAAAAATAAAAAATAAAATGTTAAAAAAAAAAGTAATACTTACCCAGTCTTCACTAAAATTGTTGTTATTTTCTTCATTATAGGTTTTTACATAATTTTTATTTAAAAAATATTTTATTAAAATATTATTGATCTTGATTACTGAGTTTTTTGGTTCCCCCTTAAATTTGTCATCTTTGGTAGGTGCCAGATTGGTCACCTTATTATATTAACTCACTTTTTCCCAGGCAAGGCCTTGTGCCCAGAAGCAATGGGAGGAGTATCTGGATATTTCCTGGCCTGCCCTTGAAAGGGAATAGAGGGAGAGCCCAACCCTTGGGCTGGTCTCTCACCCTTGGTGTCCCGAACTTTCCAAATCATTGAGATGAAAAGAATCAAATTCCAGTCTGTGCGAGAGACGGGAGACAGACCCAAATCTGGGTGTACTGTTATCACGCCATTCTACAAATGAGAAACTGAGACTCCGTGCATGTGACAGATATTCCTGAGATGACAAATCTGGAAAGTGGCAAGCGAGAACTTGAATCCAGACTCACTGAGTGGGCTCCAATAGGTTGTGCTCTCAGCCACTAGGCTCTGATAAATTGCCCACTTGCTGTGTTTCCCACCATTCCCCATTGAAAAAGATAAATCATGTATTTTTTCTTACTTAATGGCCGGTTAAAAGTTATGACAAAATATCTTCTAATTACTTTTTATAACTTTGTCTTTTTCCTCTTATGGAAGTGATATGTACTCACTGAAATTAAAAAATACACATAAACGAGATAAATCAAAATAAATCAAAATGACATCCCAAGAACCACTCGCTATTAGCATTTTGTTGCATATATCTCCAAGATTTATTTTAATAAAATTAAATATGTATATGATTTAAAAATGAAACTATGCTACACACGTAGTTTTTTTCAACGTGCTTTCTTAATAATATACCTTGAACATCTTTCTCTATCATTGCTATTTTGCATAGTAATTTGTAATGGCTTCATAATATATATTCATCTGTTTGTGAATATTTATTGAGGGACTGCTATTCTCCAGGTGGTGAGCTAGGTACTGCAGATATATCAGTTAACAAAACAAAGGATTTGGCCCTCTAGGGTTGACATTTAAGTAAAGGGAGACTTTCAAAAAATAAATGAATAAATGTGTGTCAGTTAATAGAGACACTATTTTAGATGTGTCAAGGAGTCTTTGCTGACAAGAGGCTGTTATAGGCTGAACTGTGCACCCCTCCCCCGCCACAGATTCATATGTTGAAGTCTTGAACCACAATACCTCAAAATGTGACTGTATTTAGAGGAAAGGTCTTTACAGTGGTAATAAGAAGCTAAAATGAGATATTAGGGTGATCTCTAATCCATTACGACCAGTGTCTGTTTAAGAAGAGGAAGTTTAGACACAGACACACAGGGATGACCCAGGGAGGAGAAGGCAGTCTATCAGCCAAGGAGAGAGACCTGGAACACATCATTTCCTTATAGCCCTCAGGAGAAATGCACCCTTACTGGCACCTTTATCTTGGATTTCCAGCCTCTAGATCTGTGAGAAAATTAATTTTTGTTGTTCAAGCCTCCAAGTCTGTGATGCTTTGTTATGGCAGCCTTACACACTAACACAGGGGCAGAGAAAGATGTCTGAAGGAAGTGAGAGGGTATAAGTCCTGTTGTATCTGGGGCACAGTGAACGCCAAGACTCAAGAGTAGACATTGGTTATTTGCAATAGAGGAAAGCAAAGGGCCAGATGCCTGGAAGAGTGTCTGAGAGGAGAATGAGAATGAGAAAGGAGAGGAGGTCCTAAGAGGAAGCAGGGTACCACTGGGTCCTAAAGCACCCTGCGGGCCTTGGAAGGAATTTCAGATGATATTCTGGGGGAAATAAGAAACCACTAGAGAATCATTGAACCTGACATTTTAACAAAGGTCCTTGGATCCTGTGTGAAGCCCAGACTGTCAAAATGTTTGTAACCCTCTTATTAATCAATTAAGTTATTTAGCAGTGCACCTTAAAAGTTTAGAGTGAGGAAGTAGGGGGAAGGGCATCAGGGCCACTGGTCCCAAGTCCTAAGCCCTCTTGGTACCCCTGCCATCCATGTGGCCATCCTAATGCCCAGTCTGATAAACTGGATAAACTGTCATTTAAATGAGCCTCAGATTTTTCCATGAGTCCTTCTCCACAGGGTCATTCAGTGAGTCCCCTCTTCCCCTATTTTAAGGCCAGCTGATTGTTACCCCCATCCCTCCCTTATGTCTGTTCTCTTTGCCTTTGTCTTACACTCAAGTTCCCAATCTTCAGGCTCCCTCCACCCCAACTCAAGCCTTCCTGACTCCAACTGCCATTTGCCAAGATTCCATCTTACTCACCAGTCAATACCATGTTATCTGCAAATAAAGACAATTTTACTTGTTTCTCTTTTGGCCTCTCTCTCTCTCTCTCTCCTCTCTCTCCTCTCTCCTCCCCTCTCTCTCTCTCCCCGCTCCACCACCCCCATTTCCTCATTCCTGAATTCCTGACTTCTCCTGGGGAATGGAGAAATGAAAGCCTCCTCTGTTATCTGCAAATAAAATTTTCGGGAAGTGGACAATCTCCATTAGTCAGGTGTGGAAATGAAGTTAATGGCTATAGCCCCCAATTTGGAAACCTCGTGCCTTCTTATCAAGTCAGAGGTAACGGCTGCGTGAGCGATAACAGCCCAGCACTGGACCAACCTTAGACCAGCTTGCCCCTCTAAGGAGGCTTTTGTTAGTTTCCAAACCCCTCTCGTTAATGAGTGGTCCTCTCTTATGGAAAGAGCCCTCTTTAGTGACCTCCTTTAAGAATGTATGTACTTATTTTTGCCTACTACTCTTTCCATGTCCTCCACAGCCCCCTCCCCAAGGCCTATTGACTCTATCAACGTTTACTTGTCATTCTTCTCTAGGCTGCACTTTGATTATTATTTATTGAAAATAAGGGATCAAAATGGTTCTCTTTCTCAAAGAGCAATGAACCAACAGAACCAGATGCCGTGAGTAAGCGTGACCGTTCAGCCCAGACTTTTGGGATGATTCACTCACTTGACCACAGGCGAAAGTCAACACTGAAAAGTCAGGCCATGGTACTTCTATAAGCTGGATACTCTCAAGAGCAACTGCCCTGGACCTAAGAAGGAAAACACCAGGAGGCCCTCACTGTCACAAAGGGCATCAATGCCACTGGTTGTACCTATAGTTACAGAGAAGCAGTTTTATTTGGCAGTTTTGAAGAAAGACGGTATTACTGTCCACCTTAACTCATTATTCATTATCTCATTACCGGACCACATCTGTTGCAAACTGTGAACCAATATATTCAATAAATACTCTAATAACTTCCCTTAATCACCTTGAGAATGGCATGATTATATTGAACTGAATGTGTATGTGTGTGCATGTGTGGTTGAATTGTTTACTTCTTAGATCTCTCTCCCCTCTCTCTTTCTCTCTCTCTCTCTCAGTTTGGTTTATTTTGGAAGTGGCCTATGCTTCTCTTGACCTCTGAAAGGCCCTCTGAAAACCTGAAACCGAGGCAAGGTGACAAAGTCTCATCATTCAAGCACTAAGGGCCTCCTCATGTTACCTCTTAGAAAAATAAAATGTTGCTGTAGAAGACCCAGAGGCACGAATGTTATTTCTAGGTAAATCAGTTTAATTCTTAGA